TGTGAAAGGTGTCTGGCCAATGGACAGTTGCCCCAAAAGGCTGCTTAAAGGATTAACAAGCAAGTTCCAAAGCACCAGCTGTAGGCACCCCCTTCCAGATGCCATCACGGCACATCTGCCTCATGGAAGAGGGCTCTGAGCCCCCAAGGCAACAGTGGTCAGCAGGTCTGGAGGACGCCAGGCCAAGCCAGAGCAGGGCACGTGACATCCCTGCCGGAGGAAGGGGCTCAGGGACTGGTCCAAGGGCAAAGGGCTCGGTCTGAAGCTGTGACCGAGAGAGAGGCCAGGAAGCACAGGAGGTGCTGGGGTCCGGGAAGGGGTCTGACGCCCAGCACCGGGCCAGGCCTTGTCCTGGGAGCAGCCTGGCCCAGCTCCCACCTCTCATACCCTGGGCGGGTGGTCTGACTACCTGAGCCACTCCAGGAAGGCTGCGTCCAAGCGTCCAAGTGCAGGGATAAACCTGGCACTTGGTACCAATTCAGACAAACGTCAGCTGTCCCCCCGCTACCCCGCAGCAAAGACGCAGAGGGAGCACCGTGACTCAGGGCTGCAGAGAGGTCCGACCGTAGCCCACCCACCCTGCACCTGTCACACAGCTCCCAGCCCCGCCAGTCTCTGCACAACGACAGGGGCCCAGCCTGCCAGTGGTCCCAGCACCCTGTCCCAGTGGGGATCGCTGGAAACACCCTCCAGAAACGCGCGGGGTGCTTCGGCGGCCGGGGTCGATTTGGCCTCCCCGGATCCGGCCGCTAGATTTCCATTCCACGCCGCGGAAAGGGGAAACTGAGGCAGGGCGGGCATCTCCCCGCCCTACCTCGCCCGCGCCCCCGCGCCCGGGCCAGCCCTGCTGAGAGCGGAGTCCGCCAGCCCCAGACTCCGGCCGCGCACTCACCGCCTCCGCCGCTGCCGACTTCCGGGTGCCGCGCTCGCGCGCCGCCGCCACCGCCCAAGCCACGCCCCTCCCGCTATCTGCGCGCTCGTCACTGGGCTGCGCGGCTGAGGGCGGGGCACCGCGCCGCTACACGGAGCACCATTGGCTGACCTGGCAGTCGCTCGGGAGCGGCAGCCCTCCCGGTGTCCCGCCCCCAGGGCTGCGCCAAGTTTTTGGGGGCTGCACCGGCTCTGGGCGCCTAGTGAACCCCACGGCCTTTGGGGCCTCCTCGGGGCCCTGGCCCAGAGGACGTCCACGGGAGGTGGCAACTGCTTGCAGCCGCCCGGAGCTCATGCCTACCCGGACCCGTTGGGGCCGCGGCCTGAGCTCCAGGAGCCCAAAGGTCATCTGCCCACCCGCGGCCCTAACTGGAAGCGCCACAGGGATGCTCACTTCCGGACCCGCCCCTCAGCCTGGGTGCTGGTCCCACCCCACCTCCGTCCCCCTCAATCCCGGCCTCTGGATCCGGTCAGCTCTCCCTTTCCTTTATGCCCTCAGCCGGGGCCACTCTGCCTCTCTGGCTTCTACCCCCTCTTCACTGCAACCCTGACCCCTTAACATTCCTGCAAGGCTCTGGACAGACCCTGGACCAAGCAGTTCCGCCCATCCCCACCCAGCCGCCGCAGCCCTGCAGCCCCTTGGAGCCTTCTCCAAGTCCAGGTCCCAAATATGCAGGGCTGTGCTGGCCGAGCAGGTGAGCAAGAGGCTGGGAAGGGGCACTGACTAAGGTTCTCCCAAGAGGACAGAGGCATTCTCAGCCCCCTGTACCTCTCTGGTCTGCGCCTGGGGCCTGAGTACAAGGAAGGTGGAGAGTCAGAGGCCCAGGGCTGCTCCAAAGTGGGCACTCAGCAAACTGTGACAAGAATGACAGTTGCATTAAGCATAATGACAATGTGCTAAGCACTCTAAACTCAGAGTCCAGGTGCCCAGCTTTCGTTCACCCCATTTTACAGATGCAAACACTGAGGTCCAGTGCAGATGCATCACTTGCTTGAAGTCAAAAAAGGTGGCAAATGGCAGTGGCTGGATTAGCTCCACAGCCCTGCCTTGAAGACCTGAGCACCCGGACCCTGATTCAGAGCACTGATGCCCTGTGGAAAACGCAGGGGAAGGGCCTGGCTGGTAACCAGCAAAGGCAAGAGTTGAATCCAAACCTACCTGACATGCCACAAAGCCCATTCCACTCCACTCGTCTGCCGTCTCAGCTATGGTCCTCCTGGAACCCAACCAAAGCCCTTTACTAGCACAGAAACCGAGGACTCCAGATGTCCAAGGATTCATGGCCAGCAGGCAGCAAACCTAGCCTGACACATGGTCCTTCCTTCTGCCACCCAGCAGCAGAATCCTGCTTGGTGGGTGCCAGTGATTCCCTCTGGGCACAAACCATATAGTCCACCCAAAAGGTAGTAGTGTTGGATAAGCAAGACCTGGGGCTTAGGGGTGAGTGACCATGCCCTGGGGTATGGAGCAGCAACTACAGAGTCCTCCACCCCAAACCACCAGACCATATGCCTCAAAGGAGTGGGACAGAGATTGGCAGGGCCCTTGGGAGTGGCACTTGCCCATTGCCAGCAAAAGGGAATGCAGTCATGTGTGGACTGGACAAAGGGTCAGATCCTGCTCTGTCACAGAGAGCATATGGCCCTGTCAGCCCACTCCCATCTACATACTCTCCATCTACTTGGAACCATATCAGATACTCTAACATTCACTGTCACCACTAACTCCAGTCTGGACATTTGGTGCTAGGGAGCCGGTAAGACTAGATGAGATGGGTTGGGGTGGGACCTGAGGCCTGGGATCTCAGAGCTGCAAGGGAATGACTGCCCTCCCACCTCTAATTACACACATCCATAGATGGGGGGCACACCACCTTATTTGGCCACCCTTTTGGTCTCTGAACATCTGCAGCTGTTGAGTTCTTCCTGGCCTCCTGCTGAAACCTTTTTCTCCCTGTAGCTTTACTCACATGCCCCAGGGATGTCCTTACAAAGCTGGCCAGCAGCCAAGAAGAGAGGGCAGAGACTGGGTTACTGGGTTCTGTGGTAGCAGGCAAGGGGTGGAGCCTCTTTCCCCTGCTCTCTGTTTCTGATCCCTACCTGCAGCCTGGGTCATGGTGGGCCCACTGCCAGACAGTGGCCCTGAGCCCTCCTGGAACTGGTGTTGCCCACCCTAATCCTCTGTATGTGGCTAGTGATCCAGCCTGGGGGGCAAGACAAGTCTTGCCAGGAGTGGGAGTGGGAAGGAGAGGGGAGGGAGGCAGCCCTTATGTGGACTGATTTGGGTGTGCAAGTCTCCCCTGTGCTCTCTCACCAGAAGTCTGTCCAGCCCCTATTGCCACCAGCAGCAGCAAGTGGGGGCAAGGAACAATGCCAGACCACAAGCTCACTTGCTTGAAGTCAAAGGGGAGAAAAGGGGATCCAGGAGGATCAGAGGCCAGTGTCCTTGCAGAGATCTGTGGGGACAGTCGGGCGAATGAAATCCACTCCTCATGGAGGGAAGAGAAACCCCCAGCCAACCCAGTAGCTGGACCAGAATGTCACCAGTGGTGCTGCTGCACGGGATGAGAGCTACCTTGCTGATGGGCACAGTGTTCCAAAGGGACACTTCATTCTGCCCACCCAGAGCTGTGAGCAACATCACTGTGCCAGGGTGCCAAATGGCCTCACCTCAAGTGCCAACTCCAGTTGATTGGTGGTGGCTGCCTGGCTGTGAAGTGCTGGCAGGGTTAATTTGCCACATATGCCAGGCACCATAGGAGGGCCCAGTGGTGGTTCCAGGGGTGAGTTCTAGTCTCAGTTTAATTCATTATCTTTGTTCTGACCCAGCAACTATTGGGTGAACACTCTGGCCCCCTGATGTGGGTGAATAATACACACATGTCTGGTCTCCCTATTAGCACCCTTGGGGCTTCCTTGGGAAGTATGGTGAGCTGAGGAACTGGTCATCTCCAGGTGCGACCAGGGCAGAGAAGGATTAGAACCGAGCATGAGCCAGTCACTGGCCAAAGAGCCATCATCTCAGGAATCCCTGAAACAAGCCCCAGTGGGCAGCAACCCCACTGATGTCTCCCATAGCAGCTGGCCAATGGTTATGATCCCATTTGTGGCCACATATGTGCCCCGTGTCACTACAGGGACCAGAAAAATGGTCCTGGCAGAAAAATGCAACCTGTGCTAAACTCAACTTTGTGGGTGTGGCTGAACCTCACAGTGTTCCTCAAGGAGCTCAAGTAGCGAGGAGAAAATGGGACACCAGGTGGGGGCGGATGATAAACCCCTTGTGCCCAGGCTCAAAGCTGCAGTGACGAGAGGGAAGTGAGAGGGAGAGTCCCGCGGGACTCTGCAGGGTGGACAGAGCCTGAGGTTCTGTAGATTCACACCTGGCGGGCAAGGAAAACCCCTTGTTCACCGAGGGGACCCTTCCTGGACTCGGGACCACTGCAGCCTCCCACCCACCGCTGCCTCTGCTGCGGGGACCTGGGGCAATTGAGTGTGGGAGAGCCCTGGGGCCCCTGAGTCAGAGGACTGGGTTCGAGCCCCGGTGACCTACAGCAAGGGAGGACCTTTTTAAGCCTTGGTTTCCCATCTGTGAAGTGGGATGGCAGCAGAACTCTTCCTCGCCGGCTGTGTGAACGATGTAGTTAGATGTCGACAGGAAGGCGCGGCGCACGGCGACCGGCGAACAGCAGACGCCGGAGGATACCTGCGAACTGGGGATGGTGATGGAGGCAACGCAGCCAGAGTCCGGGGAAGGGGCGCTAGGCCTGCCAGCCCCTGCTCGGGGCCAGACAGTCCGGGAACGTCCCCAAAGGCGGCCGGGCGGGGACAGCTCCGCGGGAGGTAGAGGTCGGCGGCCCCGGCCGCCGCCGCAGCCAGCAGTCACGGCAGGTGCGGGGGCCTCAGCCACTCGCGAGGGGGCGGGCCAGCTGGGACGGACATCCCGGAGGCCCAGTGGCAGCTGGCGTTTCCCTGCGGTCGTCCAATCGACGACGGTTGCCGGGCTGCGCCGCGTCTCCCGACCAATGGGAAAATTCGCGGTCGGATGGGGCGGGGCGGAGGGTCGGGTAGCCGGCCTGGCCCGCTTTGCGCACGGGCCGCGCGAGGGGTGGAAAGGGTTGACCCGGGGACTGCACGCTGGGCCCGGGAGGGGTCCGCCTCCTGCACCGGCCCAAGTTGAGTTCCCGCGGACCTCCATCCGCGCCGCGCCCTGCGAGCCAAGGGACCGGAGGACGCCCGCCTGGGGGCGGGGGCCGCGCTGCGGGGCCGCCCACGCCGCGCGCCAGGTAGGCTCGGGCCCGGGGTCGGGGCCCGGGGAGGTGGCAGGGGGCTGGGGCCGCGACTGGGACACGGCCAGGGAGCCGGGATCTGGGCGGGCTCCTGTGCGGGGAGTCGAGGTCGGACCCGTGTTTGGGCCGGGGGTCTGCGTCGAGTGGCTCCCCTCCCGCACCTCGCCCGCGCTGCGGTGCGTAAGACATGGACCAGCGGGGGCGGCTCCCTTTGTACCCGGCCTCGGGGCCTGCCGGATCCGGCCAGGGCGCCCCGCGCCGCGCGCCGCAGCGGAGACGCGGCCCAATTCCGCAGCCTGTCCGCCCCGCGAGACGTCGGGCGCCCGGCGGTCGGGGTCGCGCAGTCACAGAAACTTTCCAAAGGCCGGAGGGGTGGCGGGGCCGGGGAACTTTCCTTGGGGGGGTGCGCCGCTGGAAAGCGCGGGGACAAGGCCTGGCCGAGGGATATCACCGCGCTGCGCCACCCCCGCCGCCTGGAGGACGAGGTAGGGACGCTCCCCGGAGTCCCTGCCTCCTGCCCGGACCTGGTCCCCCTATACCCGCCACCCATTTACCCCTCGGTGGGACACCGGACCCCACGGACGGAGGTGCGACCTCCTCACCAGGGGCGGTGACTTAGCCCGGTTTTCTGAGGTGTTGCCCTGGGATTCCCCAGCTTTCCCATTTTAATCGTTAAATAATTAAATATTGGGTGCTTACAACATGTCACTAACTCTAACCTATGCGTAATATACCAGTGACAGCGGAGCTCCTGGACTCTGGCAAATCTCTTCTAGACCCAGGCACACGTAGAGACAAGAAATAAAGAACCGTGCCGTTAGCATTTCATCCTTTAAGCTAGGCTGTTAATATAATCTCAGGTGGTTACCCCTTGCTCACACCCCTTTCCCTTGTTACTCTGCAGGGCACATACTTGGTCAGGATTTATAGAACCAGGGGGTTGGGGCATGTTTCTGTCGGGAACAGCCTCGCCAGCAGTGGACACACACACCAGGGACGCACTAGGAGCCCCCCACCCCGCCACTGCCACCATTCTGTGATCCAATCTGCCAGAGGTCTGCTCATTCCCAGCAGGTCCTGCCTGTCCTATACTCACTGGATCTGTGGGCCTGGGACAGTGCTGGACACGGGGGACAGTCAGAGCCCTCTGCCCAGCACGCTGGACATGGCCAGTAATTCCTGAGGAGGTGGTCTAGGCCTGCGGTCCAGCCAGTGTGTGGGCTGTGAACCTGTGACGTGTGCTTCCCTGAGCCTTGCCCTGGCCCATCCACAGTACCATGCCTATTCCTTGCAGTCTGTGGTCTACTAGCATCCAGTACTGTGCTGGGCAGAGTGCCCACTGTGCTTGGGACTCTGGTCCTGGTCGGGGGTGGAGGGCCCAGGAGCACAGCCAAGCCCACCCTGCCCTGCCTTCCCACTGATTTTCTGCACAAGCACCTGCTGACCAGATACTCCCAGATGAACCCAGCCTCAGTCCTAAGTTGGAGCACCACCCCCTACATCTGGCAGTGTGGTGCCCCCTCTAGAGGTGGCCCCTCAGTCTCTCCCCAGTCCCAGGGATCCCTCTGCATCTTCAAGGGCAGGGCTGCATCTCTACCCCTGCTTGTGCTGTGCAAGGATTTGGGGTGAGTTCACTGTACCCTCTTCACCCCAAGAGACAGCCTGGGGGTATGAGCAGAGGAGATGCTGTGTGTCTGAGAGAAGCCAGGAATTATACCCAGTGGGGTGGGCAAGGACACGAGGCACACCAGACCCCGGCAGTCCCTAGCCTTTGCCCTGGGGCCTGGCCTGGCCTCAATAGAAGGAGGGAGGCGACCAGGGGGGAGGATGGGGGTGCCCAGGTCAAGCACTGTGGGATGCCAGGTGGTGGGGAGGCCACGAGGGGCTCTGGGAACTTCCCTGATGGTGGCTCAAGTGGGGAGAAAGCATCTGTTCTTCTGCCACCATCTTCCGTCAGGACTGAGGGCTTAGGCCACTCTGTAGGAGCCCCAGAATTAGGGAATAACCAGGGGAGGCCACAGGTCAGGAACCCCTTCACAGGCCTTCCCGATAGGGAGGGCTGCCCATCTCAGCCTGTTTCACTGGCCAGGAAGATGAGGCCAGAGCTGATGGACACGCACATCACCCAAATGTCACCCACTCACACCTCCCCCACTCGGAGTCAGGCGCAGGCCCTGCCCACTGGCCCAGTGGGCCAGAGCAAAGCAGAGACAAGCTGAGTGTGGCCAGCAGAGGGCACCTGGGACCACGCTGGCGGGCAAGACCGGCCCCACCCCTTCCCGAGGCCCCCGGTGGGGAAGCTAGAGCTCTGCTTTCTGCAGGCTGGCCATCCAGAGTGCAGAGCTGGAGAGGAGCAAGGATCGCTGGGACGAGGCCCCTTGGTAGCCCCTGGAGCCCCTCACCACCCTTGGTGCAGGCGGAGGGAGACTTGGGGGCTGGGTGGTGGGCTGATGGAGCATGGGCTTCCCCAAGGAGAACGCAGGATGGGCCCTGAGAGGGACCTCCCTGGCTTCCATTGGGGCCCTCCTTGTTTGGGGGTGGAATCTGATAAGGGGTGTGGTGGCTCCTGGTTTGGGGCCCTTGGTCAGGTGGGTGGCCCTGAGGGGTGTTGAGAAAGGGCTCCCCAAGACAGGTACCTGCTGCCCTCTTGTCAGAAACTCCATCACCGATTCTACCTTCATATCTCATATCTGTCTGTCTGTCCACGCCCCAGGGCTCCTGTCAGGCTCTGCCCTGCCCCCACCTGCACAGTGCCCTGTGACAAGGGGGCCCTGGGGACGGAGACCCATGCCTCCCCCTGCCACCACAACCCTGTGTCCTCCAGAGCCCCCTGCTCCCAGCCACCCTCCTCCTGCAGGAAATCCTCCCTGGAAGCCCCTCCCTGACATGGGGGTCCACTACTGGCGTTCCTCTGCATTTGTGGCGGTGTTGGCCTGGCTGGGGCCCAATGAGGAGGGAACACATTTCTGTGGCCATACATCTCCAGGTGGGTGGGAGCAAGAAGACCTGAGTTCAAATCCTGGACCCAGCTTCCCCATCTGTAAAATGGGGTGTTGGACCAACCCAGGGCACCTAGTGAAGCCAGAATTTTGGGAGGCCAGTGCCAGGGAAAGGCCCGTAGTCACTAGGACTGATAAAGGCACGTGGTTCTCTGTGGGATAAACTTTGTCTTTGGGGCCCAAAACAGAGGCATCCCAGAAATGTCACGTTCGGAGCAAAGCTGATTGCTGAGCCTCAGACCACAGGACAGGAACAGGGCTCCTCTGCTGTGGGCGGGCGGGGGCCCCCAGCCAGACTGCCCTGCCAGGCACGCATGTGAGCGTGTGCAGAAACGCTCATGCACGCCCAGCCCCATTCCCCCTGCCTCTGGCCCCCAGTGTCCTGACACCCTTCCCTGACCCAAAGCCTCTCCCCACAGTGAAGGGGCTACTGTGCCGCAGGGAGACCCACCTTTGGGACCCCCCCTCAAGCACACCATTCCACAAAGAAAGATGAGGCAGAGCCTCCCAACAATCTGAAAAACAACACAGAGCCGGAGAGAGAGCTCCCATCATCCGTGCCCTCCAGAGATGGCCTCCCACCTTCCACCCAGACTGGCCTGTCTGTGCTGTCCTGCTGTTCATTTTTACAGCACATACACTCTGGCAACGTCACCAGGCTTACACACAGCACGAGGAAATGTGTTCCATGGGTTGTCAGCTGAGGCAGGAAGCTCACGGGGTCTCTGGCTCCTGTGTGTGAGGCACAGCGCTAGGCCCTGGGTCTGCAAGTCAGGCTGCCTGCCTAGCAGGGACATGGGTTTTGGGCTGGGCTCAGAGAGCCTCAGGAGAGACCAGTGGCCTGTCCCACAGGGCAGATTTGGGGTCCAGGTCTGGGGAGCAGGGCCAGGTGGGCATAGTGCTCCCTGCACGGGCTGGTGGGCCTCTGGTGCCGAGTTCTCCCTCCTGCGCCATTCACACCCAGCCTTCTGGGAGGGGAAGGGGTTATTGTCATCAGTCCACAACTCTGGACAATCACGCTTCCGAAGGATTGTCGGCAGTGTTAGAAGTGCTCCCAAGGGAGCGTGCCAGCCGACGCAGACGTCACGGTCCCAGTTGAGGAGGGACAAGAGCGCGTGCACAGGGCCATGGGTGCACGGTGGGCGTGCTGCAGGACACCCTCAGGGTCAGCGGTGACTGTTCAACTGTTCAGCTAGGGTTCTGGCCTCGTCCAGAAGGGACGTATCCCAGCAAGTTGGCCTCATGCGGTGCCTTCTGGTTTTCCTGCAGGAAACCAATCCAGCAGGATGGATGCTGGGACATGGTGATGATCTCTTCTCAAGATAGGTAGGTGACCTGGGCCTGGCCTGGGGGCGTCCCCTCCTCGGAACAGCAGAGTGTCCTGGTGGGCCAGGTGGGTGTGGTTGGCAGAGGGATTGACTGTGGACCCCAGTGGTTTGTGCTTCCATGAGGCTCACCCCGGATGGGCACAGCCCCAGGGCTGGACGGGGCTGGACATGGGGGCCTTCCTCCACCCCTGCTTGGATTCACTGATGGCCCGAGTGGGGACAGCTGCTACTGGGTTGATGTCTGGTGTGAGGGACAAACCTACATTGGGGCCAACCACCCAGGATGTTCACTGGGTCAGATCCTCACATACCTGACCTGGACACCCGCCACAGCAGTGTCTAGTGTCAGGATAGCTCTCCCAGCTTGGCCCCTAGCACAGGTGGCCCCTGCTGCCCAGGGGCAGGTGTGGCCAGAGTGGAGCCACCAGCTGGGGCTGGCATGTGCTGGCCCACGACCTTGGGCATCACACAGATTTGTGGGTCTGTTTGTTAATCCTGGCTCCAGCAGGACTGAGGGGTGGTGCTGGGAGGTGTGGCCGGGTCAGGAGGCGGAGTGGTCTCCGTAACCCCCAGGGCCCTGCAGGTGGTGGGACGATGTTCCCTGCTGGTGCCCTGGTCCGCCAGCGTGTGCTGGGGTGAGTGCAGTCACAGGGCGGTGGTGGCTTTAAGAGTGCCCCTGGCCTCTCCCGTCCCTCCAGGACGGGGGCCCAGTCCTCATCCTGGCGGGCTGCCCCCACCCCACTGGGTGCTGTCTGTGGGAGGCTTGGCGAACCCAGGTCTGGATTCTCAGTGTCACTGAGTGTCCAGCGTGGGGGTTCTGGCCCAGCCAGTGACATGCTCAGGTGGTGGCAAGCAGACAGTGGCCACAGACCCCGGAGGCCCCAGGCCTCCAGACACCTGAGTGTCCTGTGCCGAGGGCTGTGGGACGGCGTGGGGAGGGGTCTGGCTGCTTCTTGCCTGTTCCATGGGGCAGTGGGTGTGGGGAGCTGCCCATCAAGCTGGCGGGAGTTGGGGATCCCCTGCTGCCTGGTGGTGTGGCCAGACCAAGATCCCGCCGAGCGACTCCTGAAGGGATGTTGGGCTGCACAGAGAGCTTCTGGACTGGGAGGAGAGGCTCAGACTGTACCTGGGCTCTAGGGGTGCCCGGGGTGTACCCCTCGCCTCTGAGCTCCTGGCAGGCCCCCATGCCTCAGCCTGGCAGGCCCCGAGGTGCCGCTCTGGTAACGGTCTGCAGGAGGCTGCTGGCCCTCATGCCGGCCCTCCCTCCCTGCCTCTCCCCACCTCCTGTCTCTGGCCTGCCCTTCTCGAGTGTAGTGAATGATTATTCTTATCTGCCGCGATGATCGGCCATTCCTGTCTGCTGTGGGGTCTGGATAGATGGTGGTGGCATTTGTGCCATCTCTGCTCTGGGCTGAGATCGTGTCACAGGCTGGGAAGCAGAAGCGGGGCCCTGGCTTGGGGCTCCCTGTTCCGCTGGACCCTGGGGTGGTCCTACCCACATCAAGAAGGGGCTGGGGAGGAGGGGGCCTCAGGACTAAGTTGGGACGGGCTGATGACAGGCATCCGTGTACCCCTCATACTCACTTTGGCTATTCCACACCCACTTGCTGAGTTCCATGCTGGACACTTGGTGGGGACCATACCCAGCCCAGCTCTGCCCTGGGGAAGCTCCCAGCCTGGCCAGGAGACAGCAGCACACAGGCAAGTGGCCATCGTTGAATGGCAAGGCAGTGATGCCTAGCAGGACCCCAGAGGACGGGGGCCAGAAGGCAGTCAGGGGCGACACTGACGCCGGGCCCGGGGCACGTGGGTACCCTTCGTGGCTGCGCCCGCGCTGATGTCACCTCTCAGAAGCCGTGCTGGCCTGGCTTTGCCATCGCCTGCCGCGCCTCTGCCACCCCGGCCTTGTGCCAGTGGTCCTTGGGGTTTGCTGTGGTTTGCAGTCATTGCTCTGAGTCTTTAATATGAAGGTATGAATTCTTTCCTCATCGGTCTGCCTGCTACAAGGTTTTTCTTGGCTTTTTAATTTTTATTTATGGCAATTTTTCATGTTCAGAAATGTTTCATCTTTTGCAGCAAAATCAGTTGGATTTTTTCCCCTTGTAGTTGTTCCATTGTTCTCTGTGTCAGCCTCCCTAGCACACAGGCAGATAAACTCTCCTCTGCCTCATCCTGTAGGTGTTTCTAGTTTAGTGTTTAATGCTCACAATTTCGTCCACCTAGAATTTATATTGATGTAAACATGAGGTGGGAATTTAGCTTTGTTTTTCAACTGTACCTGACTAATATTTCTTGACTAATATTTTCTGTCACCACAAGTTGGATATGTTATGAAATGTGTGTTCAGGTTTGTGGTGCCCGTGGCAGCATCTGGCCCTTGGCCATCACCCCTGTCCCATTGCAAAGGTCAGGGGGCTGTTGGAAACGCCCTGGGGCCTCGTCCCTGGGGCCTCTGTGGGACTCACCCCAGGCCTGGGCTCCTCGGAGCCAGTCGGCTGTCCTTGTGTGGCTCTCCACGTGTGTCCCGCTCTGGGCTCCTCGCGTCTCGGGGTGTCTCTGAGCCTTGTGTTTACTGAGAACAGGTCCTCACCCTGGTGAGCCCCCTAAGAAGCAAGGGCCTGGCTAGCATGGCCCAGCCACCCTCTTGCCTGTGGCTGCTCTCAGCCAGGCGTCTTGTGGCCTGTGATTAGAGTTGTGGGCTATTCTGGGTGGGCAGGTGCCCAGGAAGAACATTCTGTGCAGCAGGCCTTGGGTTCGGAGCCTGACTGTGCGTCTTCCACAGGCTGTGTGAAGAGCTTGGCGCAGGTCGTCCTCTGCTGTGGCCATGACATGAGTGCCAGGCCAGCTTCTGGCTGTGCTGTCTCTGCCTGGGTGGTTCATGGCTGGCCGTGCCCCCGCAGCAGGGCCAGCCTGGTGAGACCTGCATCGCCCAGGCCAGCAGACGAGATGGTACCATGTGGCCACGCTCAGCCCACCGGTGCTCCTGGGCAGTCTCTGCAAGCCTGTGAGGGTTGTTTTGGTGCATCGTGACTTGTGTTGACCCCAGCCCTCACCCCCAGCCTCACAGCTCTCCCCTCCAGAGCACCCCCTGATCCTTAGCTGCCTCTGGTGGCCTCCCCCGGCACCCCTCACTGTCACCCAGCCAGTAAGGCTTTTCCCTGGATTTGCTCTTCCTGTCTGTTGCCCTGCCTGGATTGTCCCCTGGGGAGCTGCCCGGGGAGGCCCCTGGACCCTGAGGCTGCATGAGGGGCCTCTCCTCCCCTAGGCCCTGGGTGTCCCCTGTCCCAGCATGACTGTCAGCCGGGCACTGAGACTGGTCAGTGTAGCCTGGGAGGTGGGTCCTGTGAGATGCCCCCCGCAGCTGCAGTGTGTGGGGTCAGGCCCCGGCCGCTGTTGCTCACGGGGAGGGCTGCCCGCAGTTGGGGTGCAGGAAGCCCCACCCCCAAGGCGCATCTTGCCAGGTTGACTTGGCGGTTGATGAGTTTGGTATTTCGAATATGCTTTCAGTTTAACTTTTTCTTTTCAAAATATTTTCACTCTCCCTGAAATCCTAATTAGGCCATTCACTCGGCTGAATGTACTTGCTGCGCTCTGCGTTTTGCAAGATAATGAGACTGCAGAGATGCTGCCTTCCCAGTGATCCCGGCCTGGGGGCCTCCACTCTGTGCCCTGGGGAGGGGGGGTTGCTGGCACCTCCGTGGCCCGTCTGGCCTTGGGATCTGGGCCGCAGAGCCTGGTGGGGCAGGGGCGGGGGTCTCGAGGCCTGGGATGCTGAGGAGTCCGGGAAGGCGTAGATGGAGGGGGGCTCAACCCCAGCAAGGTCGCCCTGCGCCTCCCCTCAGCCCAGGCCTGGGGTCAGGGTCTCAGCCTGGTGATGCCCTAGAAGGGCCTCCTGGATCTAACCCGGCCGGGAGTCCCTGGGTGTGTCTCAGGGGCTGAGAATGAGGGACAGGCCCCAAGACCGACACAGACCCCGAATGACTGTGGCCCCAGAGTCTACATTCTACCTTTGAAAAAAAAATTATAAAGCAATATGGGCTTGTTTATCTAAAATGTGGAAAACATCTAAAATATGGAAAATACAGATGAGAGGGAAGGGGAAATCCCATCTCTCTGCTCCTGGGGCACTGGGGAGGTGTGCGTGTGTGAGCCCGCCCGGCTTGTGACCCCTCCCCTCCACGGCCCCCTGGCCGATCCCTGAGGTCAGGATGCTTGGCCAACACAGGAGGTCGGGTACCACACACGCTGCCCTCTGCCTGCCCTGCCCCTCCTCCAGTATCTGCACCTCCTGGGACATACCAGGCCCTGCCGGCTCTGTCCCGCTCTGTCCCACTCGGTCCCGCTCTGTCCTGCTCGCTCTGTCCCCACTCTGTCCCGGGGGGCCACCTGCTGCCTCAGCTGAGAGCCTGGGAAATACATCCCATTATGGACACAGCCTTCTGAGGACTGGAGTTGGGGAGGAGGCTTTTCTGACACACCAAGAGAGGGCAGGCCATGGGCCCTGGGATTCCTGACCCCCATCAGTGGGCACAGACCACCAGCTCCACCTGCTGCCCCCTACCCAGGGCCTGCTCCCAGCCCGCCGGGGGAGCAGGTAAACTGCCCAGGGCCCCAGAGGAGGCAGGACCGAGGCCAGGCCCCCACCTGGGCCCACCTCCACCAGCTGGAACTTCCCTGCCTGCCTGCCCGCCCATCACAGCCTCAGACCCAGCCGCCCCTCCTTCCCCTGCCAATGCCCTTCTCCCTGCAGCCCTGACCCTCCTTCCCACTAAGTACCCACTTCTCTGGTGCCTCTCCCTTCCCACTCCTCCCTCCGAGGTGCCCCTGCCTCCCTTGAGCCTCTCCCTCTTTGTCTCCTACATCTCCGGCCTCTCAGTGTTGGGGTGGGGCTCACGGGGAAACTGAGGCTTCGCAAGCATAGCTGGGCCCTGCTCCCAAACCTGCCCAGGCAAGCATGTCCCTCCAGTCTTCTTAGTGACAGTTCTCTGGCTTCTGTCC